CAACTATTTTGGCCCAGATTTTCGCACTACTTGTTGTTGCTATCAATACTGCATTTGTCGGTCATACAGGAGACAACGCTAAATTAGCTGGAGTAGGTCTCGGAACGCTATATGTCAATATTTTCTGCCAGTCAATCATATTAGGTTTAAACGGAGCTGTAGCAACATTAGTATCGCAGGCTTACGGTGGCGGTAATTTTAAAAACTGCGGAATATATCTAAATAGAGGTAGAATTGTAGCAATCATAGCATTTATGCCTATAATTATCGCTTTGGTACTTTGCGAATAATTCATGTTAGCTATTGGAATGGATCCTCGAGCTTCTGAGTATGCTGGACTTTATACCTACCTTCTTATACCTGCAATGTTCTTTCATTCATAATTTGACGCTACAAGGCAATATCTCAATGCTCTAAATAAGTCAGAGGTAGTAATGTACATTATGATCATTACATCAGGACTTCATTTAGTATGGTGCTATCTACTTACTAGTGTTTGGAAACTTGACGTTGTTGGAGTCTCACTCGCTACCTTAATTACCTTCTTCCTTAATTTCTTTATTGTTACAATTTACTGCAAACGCAATAAGGAAGTCAGAAAAAGCTTCTTTTTCCCAACAAAAGAATCTTTCCAAAAGCTAGGGGAATATCTTTAAATTGGAATTCCCTCATGTTGCATGCTTTGTCTTGAATGGTGGAGCTTTGAAGTTCTTGCCATAATGGCTGGTTATATTAGTGTAGATGCAACTGGAGCTCATGTAATTATCATTAATACTCATGTAGTCATCATTATGGCACCTCTTGGAGCTTAAGTTGCTACTATTGTTTGTGTTGGATAAGCAATGGGAGAAGGACATGCTAGCAAAGCTGTAAGCTATTTTAGACTAGTAGCTTTATACAGTTTAATGCTCAATATTACTTTGGGAACTGTGATCTTTTTCACCAGGGAATCAATTGCTAGAATATTTACGACATCAGAAAACTTGATACCAATGATAATGGATGGCTATTCAGTTTTGATACTTATATTACTCCTTCATGGAATGGCAATGGTATAAGCTGGAGCAGTGAGGGGACTTGGAAAACTTAATTTAGCAACATGGATGGTCTTCTTCTCATTTTATATTGTTTCTTTGCCAGGTGCTTACATTTTTGCCTTTAAACTAGATTGGGGAATGGTTGGGCTCTGGTGGGGCATTGTTGTCGGCTCAATCAGTGAAGTCGTTCTTTATGCATTTTTCTTAAGATTTTTATGTGATTGGAAAAGATTAGCCATTGAAATATCGGAATAAATGAGGATGTCTCCAAATATTTCATACAGGAAAAACATAGATCAAATTCATGAGCCCTTAATAAAACAATGTGATATTTCAAATCATGAAATAACTATTAAAACAAGAGAAAACTGAAAAAAAGATTCACTGAAAATCACGACCTAAATAATTAAACGTAAATCAAATATTTATAATATTTAAGTTTTTAATAAAAACTGTATATAAGTCTGATGGGGTTTTGGGGTTTTGGGG